CCAACAGCCAGAGCATCTGTCACACCAGACACCGACGTCAGCTGAAGCACGTCAGAACACCCGTGTTCGTGATGCAGTGAGGAAGGCTCTGAGGAACTCAGGTGGCCCCTACCCTTATGTCAGAGTGGACGCCAGAAGGCACTTTGGCCACCAAAATTAATTCTTCAGCCCAGAGCCCAATATCCATGGGCTGTCCCACTAGGCTGGCCAGGGATACCCATCCTCAGGGCTGCCCCTTTCCTTGGTCACCTCCTCCACCTTGCTCTTTCAGGACTGTGGAAGAAGCATAGACGTTGGAACCTGGCACAAATCCTGATCCCTTATCCTGTGTTTCTCAGCTATATGACCTTGGGTGGGTTATTGAATCTCTCTAAAGAGTAATTTCTTCCTTTCTGAAACATACGTCGTAAGTCAATCATAAGGAAGAAATTAGATGTTTTATTAAAAAGTGTGAAAACTAAGGTACATGTCACACAGTAGCTATTTGCTCACCTCCGCTCAAAGCTGGTCTCTGGAATCGGGTCCTTGGTGTGTTACTGTGTGGACGACATTGAATCCCAGGCCTGTGGATATCTGTGGATTTTTCCCTCTGGGCTCCTGTAGCCACAGAGATCTCACATCCTGGTTTTTACAGGCCAGTCTTGATTTAAAATAATCTATCCTAGTTTTCCCATAGTTCTTGCCTACTGTGGGAGCAAGTGGCCCAAATATTGCCTTAGGAATGTCAGTCTAGATTGATACCATACAGAACTAACCTATCTAGTTCCATCCCTCCTGTTCATTCATTTATTCTACTAACATATTTTTAAAAGATATACTATGGCCAGGCGCGGTGGCTTATGTCTGTAATCCTGGCACTTTGGGAGACCGAGGTAGGTGGATCACTGAGGTCAGGAGTTCGAGACCAGCCTGGCCAACATGGTAAAAGCCCATCTCTACTAAAAAAAAAAAAATACAAAAATTAGTTGGATGTGGTGGAGGGTGTCTGTAATTCCAGCTACTCAGGAGGCTGAGGCAGGAGAATCACTTGAACGCGGGAGGTGGAGGTTGCAGTGAGCTGAGATCGAGCCACTGCACTCCAACCTGGGCAACAGAGTGAGACTCTGTCTCGAAATATATATATGCATATATATATATATATGCACACACACTATTTGCCAGGCATTGTGCAAGATACTGGGAATAAAATGGTGAATCTGACCATCCTCCTGCCCTCATGTGGCTCCATATACTAGTAGAGGAGCTAGTCGTGTGAACAGCCCATCAGAGCTATAACAGGTGTGTGCTAGTTGCTGGGGCAACACATTTGAGGAGCTCTTTGCTCTTAGTATCTCTTTTGGGAGGTATACCTGGTGCTACTTCCTGCTGTCAATTCTAATTAAGCATCTAAAAGAGATGTTGGATGTTACTTTTAGAATTATACAACATCAGAACTAGGTTTTCTGTTCAACCACTATATTTTGCAGATGAAACCCAGAGAGGGCACAAGATATCCTTAAGGTTATGCAGGGAGATAGAAACACAGACATAGATTCCTCAGGAGCTTAGGAGACCCTATGTGTTGATTAGCTTGCACCAGGTGCTTTGGAAGGTACAAGGAACTCAGGAATAGTGACTGGGTTGGTACTGGGGCTGAGTTGTGTGGGTAATCAAATGGTGGACAGCTTCATGCTGGGAAAAGATCCAGCTTGGCTGGGGAAGTGGAAGTGTGTGTAAGAAGGACGATGTGTGTCAGTGATGCCCGAGGATATCTGGGGGTAGCAGATACCCTGCAACATCTCTGGGAGATTTATTGGCTGGGGCCACTGCTCTGCAAATGTCACCTCTTGTAGGTTTTAGGAAACGTGCGTGTGTGTGTGTGTGTGTGAATGTGTGTGTTTTGGGGTGGGGGGGGCGGCTAACAACTGCAGCCCACTTTGGCAATGACACTGCAGAGGACATTGCAGGGAGCTACCTGACCCTAGAGGGAGTGAAAGGACAGGATGGACAAGGGGTGAGGACAAGAAAAATTGAGAGCCACGTGGGCTTTGGTTGGTCTCTCCAATGGGATGAGTAGGGGAGAAAGGCATATATTTCATCCCTCCCTCTTCTTCCTCTGTGTACCAATGGGGTCGGGTGGCATTTAGCTAATCTTCCAAGTTCAGCAGGGGGACGGTCTTTTAGGAGAGGCCGATCACGAGAAGGTAAGAGTAGAGACGAGTTTGTTCAAAGTGCCATTTCCAGGGGCGCGCCGATGATGAAGCGCTCAGGGGGAACTGGAAATAGCAGCCCAGAACCCATCCCAGCCTCTTGAGCTGCAGCCGGCAGTGGAGAGACTGGGCAGGGAGCCAGGGAGAAAACTCTGGCAGCAGGGTGGTCTCTAGGGCTGACCTCGGAGCCTGGGGACAGGGGAGCCTATGCCGCACTGAAGGCGGGACGCTGTAAGCGAGGAGCGGCTGGGCCTGGGCGGGCTCCTCGACCAATCAGCCTCGGTCAGCAGCACCCTCAGGCGCAGGGCACTGTTTGGGCATTGCCTAGAGATCGGACACCCGGCCCAGATCAGCGCAGGGAGGCGAAAGCGACAGCCGGGCGCGGGAGGAGACCAGGGCAGCTGTCCCCTCGGAGAGGGTGGCCCTCGAGGCAATGCGGGTGGGGGCTGGTGAGGAGGCGGAAGGGCCGAAGCTGAGTGGGAGGGGCC